CACAAAAATTTACACCCAGGTGAAATTTTTATTTGTATTTACAAAATAAGGTTTAGTTTTACTTTTAAAAGTTTTGTTTAATTTTAATTTTACTGTCTGTAATAAATACGATTTTTTTGTGATCCATCCAAACGTWAATGTTATTAAAAACTCTGTTACATGATGAAGTTACTAAAAGAGTGAAAACATTGTTTGATAACTTTAAAATTACCAAATGAAGCTGATCTTTTAGTACAGCGTGACTGTTTTGTTTTCTTCGTTGTTGGCTCTTTTCCAGTGAATAAAACAAATTAAATAGCGAAAAAATATTTGATACAGCAGCTACACCAAATTAAATATTTACATAAAAAACACAGAACAGGCATAAAATAGTAAAAATATCAACTTTCCAAGACCTCTGTACCTTCAGATATGAATGAAATAAACTTTTCTTACAAATTAATGGAAAAACGACAGACTGACCACCATCATAGCTGTAAAAAATTTAATTATCTGAATTTAAAGCTGGTTTCTGCTTTAATCAGTGGTTTATAACAAACTTTCCATCAGTTGACGTCCATCACCTTTAATTCTCTTTCTGTGAGGAGGAAAAAAAGAAAAAAATCATAACAAAAACACCAAACACAAATTGTTGGTTAAAAAAATATATATAATTTTTATGATCACATTCAGATTTATTTACCTTCTCTTGTCCATTAGTTTTCTCTGGGCCTAGACAATAAAATAAAAATACAATAAACATAGGAACATGGATAGAAATTTGAATAAAAAGAAAAGACGCAACATTTTTAACTTTGTTTTACATTTTAATTACAGTATTTTTCAGACTATAAACCGCGACTTTTTTCCTGAACTTTGAACCATGCGGCTTATAGTCCGGTGCGGCTTGTAGTCCGAAAAAATATGTTAATTAAAAGAGCTAAACTGTTTCTTTTAACTTGGAAAACTAAAATTACCTCACATAATTATTACGTTTAAGCACTGATTTGATCACTATTAATAAATTRTCTTTAAATAATTCTTTACCTGATCCAGTGAAAGTCCAGGAAACAAACTTGATGAGGCCGTAGAGCACCAGAGCCACACCCACCATGGCCATGGAGTCTTCAATGGAGGGAGAGCTGAACCCTGAGGCAAACAAAATTAACTTTATTTATATTCTAGTTAATTTTTACTTGTTAGTTTTATTTATTTTTTATTAATCTGGAAACCTTTATAGTACATTTTTAACATAAAACAGTAAAATAAAAACACTAGAGGTGGAACTTGATAGTAAAAAAAGAAAATTAAATGTTTTAAATGTTGCCAAATCATAAAAAAGTACTGATTTTAGGACAACACGTCAGAAAGGTGATCACCGATGATGCTGAGGGTCATGCTGGCCCGTCGGGTCCCCCCAGCGTGAACAGCCACACAGGTGACCTCACCACCTCGGCCCAGGTCCAGTTTGGACAGGTCCAGCTCCAGCCGGGTGCTCTGGCTGTAGGTGCCGTCCCAGGCCTGCCTGTGGCCCGACACGCTGCCCGTCCCCAGAGCCCGGGTGGTCCTGTCGGCGCCTTTAAACTCCCAGCTCAGCTCCAGAGGGAGGGGGGCGAAGCCGGACGCCTCGCAGTGGATTTTTACGGTCTGACCCGGGACAGCCAGGGGCAGAGTGGAGGGGTGGAGGGAGAGGGACGGAGGTTCTGATTGGAGGAACAGAAATTGTTTATTTTGTTAATTAGAGGAGTTGTTATTATTTTTATTTTTAAATCCTCACCTACGATCTCCAGCTCCATGGCCACCTGAGCCAGCAGGTAGGGCAGGTAAACCGTGCAGATGTACGTCCCAGTGTGGCGGACCTTAGCCTCCTCCAGGATCAGGGAGGCGTTCCCGTTCTTGTGCAGACCCTCGAAGTCCAGAGTGGCCCCCTCCTCGTGGGTGTCCGCCAGCCGGTCCGTYTTCCCGTCGTAAGCCAGGACGAGCCGCCCGTCCCCTCTGGTCTGGTACCGCCACTCCACGGAGAAACCCGACGTGACGAGAGGCGAGGAGGAGTCGGCCCAGAAGCCACAGTCCAGAGTGACGGGGTCTCCGAGTCTGGTCTTAGCGGACATGGTTTTACTGGTGACGCTCAGGATCACTGAGAAATAAAAAGACTCATTAAAAAAACCTTCTGAACATTTTAATCAACGTTTCTGGATCATAATTCACCTTCGTGTTCTTTGGTTCCTGTCGGAGCTCGTGTGATGGCAGAGACCCCCAGCTGCTTGTCCAGACCCTGGAAGGAAGCTGAGAACCAATCAGCTTGCAGGTAAATGGGGCTGAGGGCGGAGTCTGTCAGAGAGGCCACCCATCTGAGGCTGGAGGGCTGTGGCAGGAAGGGGTTGATCTCACACTGAGGCTTTTTGATGGAGCCTCGGGGGGCGTTGAAGGAGCGATGGCAGAGAGTGGCTGCGGGGTCTGAGGACAGGAGACGTCAAGCTAACGGCAGTAATTTATAGATGAACCTGTGTTTGCACACCTGGCTCTGACTGAGCTCACCTGTGATGATGTAGATTCTGTTAGGGTCGATGTCAGAAGGAGGGCGCTGGGACTCGGGGTCGTAGCTTTCTGCTTCAGTTCTGATGTGGAGAAGGGATTTTTCTTGTGTCGTAGCTCCGGTTAGACCTCCTCCTCGACCCGCCTTCTCCTGCACAAACCAGCACTCCAGCACCGGGCATCTGCTGCTGCTGCTGCTGCTGCTGCTACTGCTGCTGCTGCTGCTGGCTGCAGCCAGAAACAAGAACCAAAAGTCAGAAACACAGTAATACTATCATAACTTTGTATTATGTTGTGTTCCATAAAAAATGTTGGTCAAAGACACAGTTTGCCCACAGTAATAACTAAAAACAGTAACACTAAATAAGAAATTTGCATTTTGTAATTATGAGAACTGCAAAATACAAAACAGCTTTGAAAGTAACTTAAAGTAAACCCCAACCTTTAAAAAGGAAAGTAAAAACTTTAGCTCTCAAACACAGAGGTCAAAATGGACTCTTCTCTTTCAGTTTTAGTTTTGTTCTCGTTGTTTTTTGTCAATATTTAAAGAAGACCTTTAACAAAAAAATAAATAAATGTAATATTTTTTCACCTTCTTGATTATTTAGCTCAATAAAATAACTTGGACATCAGTAAATAAAACAATTTTTGCAGAGGGATGAATCGAATGACAGGATGAAGCCTTTGAACGCTTTAACCAAACTCCATTAACAAATGTACCACTTTAAAAGGCAAATTAAATTTAAAGTAAAACACTTAAATCATAAAACTTTAATAACAATGCATAACCAAAACCTGGGGCTATATGCTAAATTCGGCACAAACATGGATCATACAGAACTTAATATTATGGCTTTATCAAAACAAAGAAATTTGGGTTGCTGCCCATAAAAATACCAACACTGCTCTTCAGCAGTACTATATTTAAATACTTTATATGCAGTATTTAGCTAAAGAAGTTCAGGTTTTATTATTGTGGTAATTGGCTTCCATACATTCAGTTACGATATGCATGAAAAGTGTTTTTGTTCCGTGTTTTTGTCAGAGAAATAAAAATGAGCAGTAGCTTACCTTGAATGAAGCCGATTAGAGCAACAACAGATAATTTATAAATTGTAGAAAAGTCCGTCATGTTTCTTTGTTTCCCTGTTTGTCTCAGGTCTGTTCTTTACTTAACAATGAACACTGAAGTGTGTTTTAGTATCTGGTTTTCCCCTGCAAGACCCACATTTTACTTTCGCTTTCACCACCATTCAGGTGACGCTCATGCTCAGACTGGTTTCTTATTGGCTCAGACTAATTATGACGTCACTCAGTCCTCCTCCATGAACAGAAACACAGAGCTCAGTTTTTTCTACACGAGGCAGAGGTTGAGTTCACACCGAACGCGTTTTGAGCGGCAGGAGTATGGCTTTGTTAATATGTTAAATAACACGTATAATAATATTCATATATAATATTAT